GTGAGGACCCTCAGCCCCTGGACGGCCACTGGGCAGAATGCACCAGGTGTGGCAGGGACCCCCAGCACCCAGACAGCTGCTGGGCAGAAAAGCAGGCTTTCAGCTTCATAGTCTAGTAATCTTAATTCCTAAACAAATACCCACAGAGAAATGGTAACTGGTTGATCTGGGGAAACAACATGGGACTTTGCCCCAAACCGGACAAGCAAGGACTGCCTCTGTGAACAGTGGACCCCATTTCCAGGCCCTTCCTGCCCATCACCTTGAACTCCTGCTGCTTGGCCACCGTCACCGGCATGTGTCCCACGAGGAGAGGGTGTCTTTCCTTCTTGATCTGATTCCCATCATCTTCCACACAGAACCAGCCCATGTGGTTCTCCTCCTCTGCGGGTATGTGAATGAGAAATGGGGAAGGGCAGCACTGCGCCACCAGCAGCTTTGACATGGCCCTGAGGGCCCCAGACTCAGACGTCATATTCTACACCGGCCTGCAGAGCTGAATACTGTTTCTGGAACACAGCACGATCTTTTTTTAAAGGAAGGACTGTGCATTCACTGCTCTATTCTGAAAAGCGTGTCCTGTTTTCCTGTTTGCTCCCCGATTGCACGGATGTGAAGGGCTGAGAAAGTCCTCGTAAAGCACCTAGGATTCTTTTTTTTTTTTTTTTCCAAAAAAAATGAGATATTTATATATAAAAACCACACAGACACAGTGAGAGTTAACATGGTAGAATACTATGCGATAAAAAAGCGTGAGGCAGGGGCGCCTGGGTGGCTGAGTCAGTGAAGCGTCCGCCTTCGGCTCAGTTCGTGATCCCGAGGTTCTGGATCGAGTCCGGCATCGGGCTCCCTGCCCTGCAGAGGGTCTGCTTCTCTCTCTGCCCCTCCCCCCTGCTTATGCTCTCTCTTGCATGCGTGCGCTATTTTTTTTGTTTTAAGATTTTATTTACTTGACAGAGAGAGACACAGCGAGAGAGGGAACACAAGCAGGGGGAGTGGGAGAGGGAGAAGCAGGCTTCCCGCGGAGCAGGGAGCCCGATGTGGGGCTCGATCCCAGGACCCTGGGATCACGACCTGAGCCGAAGGCAGACGCTTAACGACTGAGCCACTCAGGTGCCCCTAATTAATTAATTTTTTAAAAAGCGCGACGAAGTGAAGAGACGTTTTGCTATAGAGCAAGTTGTCAATCTTGGCTGTGAACGGATGAAAGGAAGCCTATTTTCAGGTTTAGCCTCTCTTGTCAGAGAGGGGCCGCTTCTGGCTTGCCGATGCAGGTAAGAGTCTGCCATGACAAACCATGGAATCATTGGGGGGGAGAGAGAGGAGAGCCCGCAGGAGCCTGGGCGGTGGCGGGAAGGCTCTCCATCCCCACTAACCGCGGCTCCCTGCAGGCTTCTCCTCTGTATTTTATTTTCACTTAGCAGACTGCCGGCGTCTCAGAGAGAACAGCACACGTGCATGCGGTATCACAGTGTGTTCTGAGTAACAGATCCGTGTGTAAACAACATACGTGCACACATATCGGTCTGATTCACGGCTCAACAGACCGCAAGGCTGCAAGCAGAGGAGCAAGAAAAAATCAAGTCCCCTCGTCTCTGATCGAAGCACATGACTTCCTTTCCACGCAGGATCTCCGGTGACACCTCAGGGCCACCCTGTACACTTCCCCAGGTGAGGGAGAGAAGCAGGGTGTCCCCACTGCAGGGAGGGGCGTCCTGGCGCACGGGCCACACAGCCAGCCACAGACCCACAGGGCTGTTCTGCTCATGTGCACAGTCTCAGCTGATGTCAATGTGTGTGTGTATAATAAAAGTGAGGGCTTATTTTTTCTACAATCTCTGAACTTATATAGGTATCTTCAAAATCATTCCTGCTGGGGGGTGGGGGGCACCTGGTTGGCTCAGTGGGTTAAGCGTCCCACTCAATTTCGGCTGAGGTCGTGAGATGGAGCCCCGCGTCAGGCTCCCTGCTCGGCGTGGAGTCTGCGTCTCCCTCCCTCTCTCCCTCTGCCCCTCCCCAGCTCTCTAAATAAATAAGATCTTAAAAAAAAAAAATCACTCGTGCTGGGGTTCATTTTTCCTGTTTAAAAACACTCTTTCAGGGCACCTGGGTGGCTCAGTCGGTTGGGCATCTGACTCTTGATTTCGGCTCAGGTCATGATCTAGGGGTCCTGGGATCGAGCCCCACATCGGGCTCCCCACACAGAGGGAGTCTGTCTGTCTCCCTCTCCCACTGCTCGCTCACTCTGTCTCTCAAATAAATAAACCTCTAAAAAAACAAAACTAGAAACATCCTTTCAGGCGAACAGAGAAATCTACTGTCAAGGTCTTTCTTGTGATGCTCTCTCCCGGGCACGGACTTCACCGTCACGGAGAAAAGCAGAGGACGGGGGCACGCACTTGTCTGCACAGGCCTCACAGAGCTGAGGTCACACCACTCTTACCCAGGGCGAGCTTGGCCATCTGCAGGTTGTTGATCCAAGACTCTTTGATGGCAGGGGTGAAGGTACTGAACACAGCAGTGAAGAACGTGGGCCGCCCCGACCTGCCAGGAGGAACGGAGAGGCATTCGGTTTACACACCGTGGGATCACAGGGCGAACTCTGCCCGTCCTGCCCGGTGGCCACGACCGCGCCATGAGAGCCATCCTCAGTCCTGCCCAGGAAGGCTGCCTTGCAAAGTCACCACTGACTTGTCCTGCTTCCCCGGGAGCTGCAGCTGGATTCGGCAGCAATCCGCCGCACGGATTTCCTCTTCCTTCTTCAAAATGAGCCTCTGTAAACCCGACGTCCAATCGTGGGCCACGGACTGGTTTAAGTTCTGCGAAGGGAACACGCACGCGCGGTGAAGGTGCTGATGAGGCAGGGCCACCCCCAGAGAGTATGGTGCACGAACCCTCGAGGAGACTAGCTCTCACAGTGCATTCCCAACAGACACCCCTGGAGCTCGGGCCGCACGCAAATGAAGTGACCCCAGAACAGCTTCAGCCACAAACCCCTGCCCGAAACAGGAGAAAACACACCATCAGACTGGTTCTCAAAATCGCCCTGATTCTCACTTCCGGTAGAACCCAGAGGCATGGCCACACACTGACGGCGGTCTAGGATGTGGAAACAGAATTCTGTGTCCCAGGGCCCCGCCGGTTACCTGGTAGTTTCCTCTGAGGTTCCCGATGAGCTGAGAGATCTGACCGACGATGTTTAGGTCATGCAGCAGGTTCTGTAAGTCTTGATACAGCTGCCCTGGCCCCACGCAGACCTGGTCTGCAGGAGAAGCAGCAAAACAGCACCAACTGAGAGCCGCGTTTGTGCCGACCCAAGAGGGGCCACAGCACCAGCGTTAAAGTGCCAGGTGACTGAGAATTTCTAAAAAATGGATCTCTTCAAGCATTGAATGGTTCTTCCTTTTCTAACTTCTCATTATGGAATGACTTCAGACTTACAGAAAAGATTCGGAGCTCCCCCCGTGTATGCCCTTCACACCGCGTCCCGTGACGTTAAAATCTCAGAGAACCACGGCGCCGTCGTCAAACCCACGAAGTCACGTGGACACGACACTGTTCACTAACCCGCAACCCCCACTCGAGTGTCCCAGCTTCCGCCCCGAGCTCATCCTCTGCTCCCAGACCCAACCCACGGCCCCACATGCGCTTGGCTGCTGGTCTCCTTGACTCGTGAGTGCCTGTCTTCCAAGACCTGAACTCCTGGGCCACAGCTGGTGCATTAGGTCACAGAACCTCTCTCACTTGTGTTTTTAACACATTGTTGATGTCACTGCGGTTAGTAAGAGCTATCTAGGAATGGCATTTAACCTAAACCAGATTTCCAATGACCAGGGTCATCCAACAGCTCCCCAGTGCCCTTTCTCTAAAGGACAACAGGACACCAAAAAGGACAGTGATGGGCCAGGGAAGAGCCCCGTCCCTGACTCGGGGCCACCTCTGTGCGTGGGGGAATAGTTACTCATTCCCCTCCCCCCAACAGAACTACACCCCGTCCCCCATTCTCCTGGTGAGGACACTGAGGCCCCACGCTGACATGCAGGTGGGATCCCAAGGCAGAATCCGACTCAGAGGCCCCCCTGTAAAGGACATGCGGTCACAGCCCCCCTCTTCCTCTGTGTCCATGGAAACAGACGGCCTCAGCCCCCCCCCCCCCGCCCCGCCGCCCCAGCGCCCAGCAAACCCAGGGAGCAGAGCAGATTCATCCACCTCAAACAAGGTGAGCCTCCTGGAGTCTGTTTCCACAAGGCGGCTTCTCGGGCATCAACCCGGGTGTGAGTAAAGTAGACGTCACCCTTAGAACTTAGCACTAGGCTGTGCCGGGTCAGTTATCGGCAGTTGGCAAGTGAAAAGCAAATATGCGTGCTATTAGCTAAAACTACTTTAAGGGACAAACATACTGTTAAGGGAAGATAAAAAGTTAGTACATGTGACTGCTGGGACAGTTTTCAGGGTTGGCCCAGGAGAAACCAAGCCTCCTGGCTCCTGTCAGGCTCTGCGGTCGTGGTCTCAGAATTCTTAACAGTGGTGAGCAAGGTGCCCTGTGTTTTCATCGTGCACGGGGCCCAGCCAAGTACGCGGCTTATTCTATCCTTCCCTGGTACGTCTGTGTTAAAAACGAAGATATATTTCCAACACAAATATTTCAGATGTATATCCATCTAACCACACTCACTGCTTCACCGCAGAGTAAGATAACAATGAGTAATTTTGCAGAAACGCCATTAAAGACATTTTTACTTGGATCTTTATGCTTCCACCAGGCCCGATTTTTAGGACTCATCTAGACAAATTGTATGATCAACTGCATATCAAGTATCTTCATGAAGTTTCATTTAAAAAAAAGGAACAAGCTGTTCAATTGTGTTCAACTGATTACCATTTATCAAATTTGTTTTTCCTTAACAGTATGTACACATAATTTAAAACATCTGTAGTGAACACCACACACATTTCTTTCATTTATAAACTTCTGATGACAGACTCCATGAACTCACCCTTGTGATAAAGTTACTCCTGCTACATGAACTCCATCAATTTGCCCACATCTAGTTTTTAGTTATTTTTTTAAATTGTCATACAGTAAAACCGACACTTTTACCTTGGGTGCATGGTCTTTGAATTTTAACAGGGGCAGGTATGGGCCATAGAACAGCACCTTCACCCCCAAAGACGCGGGCCTGTCCACCCTGCCACACCGAGTCCCATCCAGCAACCACTGGTCTCTTCTCCAACATTTCCGTTTTGTCTTCTCAAAAATGTCACGTAAGGGTGCACCTGGGTGGCTCAGTCGTTAAGCGTCTGCCTTCGGCTCAGGTCATGATCCCAGGGTCCTGGGATTGAGCCCCGCATCAGGCTCCCTGCTCCGCGGGAAGCCTGCTTCTCCCTCTCCCACTCCCCCTACTGTGTTCCCTCTCTCGCTGTCTCCCTCTGTCAAATAAATAAAATCTTAAAAAAAAGAACGTGGCGTAAGAGTGCACACGATATCCCACTTCTGTTTTTTAAACACATATACAGGATATTTCTGTGCGCACAGAGGTCTGACTGAGTTGCCTTGAGCCTGGGAGGCCAGCGTCTAACCTGACTCAGCACCTCACACATGCAGTCCTGAGCCCGGTAAGCAGAGCACGTGAGCACGAGGAGAGCAGGGCCGGGCCATACCCTGCGGAGAGACGCTGCTCTAAGTGTTTGCGAGTGAGCAGGGAGGTGGGCTCCAGCCTGAGCACGCTGAGATTCTGACATCGGTGCCTGCCCTGCAAACATGTATCTCCCATGGAGCTCCCGTGTGTCACGCGATAAAGCACGTGTCTCGGGAGACAGAGACCACTAAACGCTAGGTCAGAGGTGTCTCAGGGGCCAGGCTGTATCCTCCCCATCGAATCTCACCACCGGGGACTCAGGACTCCCTCTGGGAGAACCCCGAAGCCTCTCCCATTTTGCGTTCCTCGTGTGCACCCAGGGACAGGTGTGCCTTCCCACCCACCTTGGTACCACCCGGAAGCTGGAGGGGGATGGTGTGCCTGGCAGCTGCAGTATTTAAACCAGGACAGCTTTGGGAGCTCCCCAAGTCTCCCCACACGAGCAACTACTCTACAGGTGGCCGCTGCCTCAGAGCCTCTGGGAAGCAACCCTGCGAGAGGAGCCCCATGCACCCCCAGAAGCCAGCCGGCTGCGGCAGGTAGGCAGCCTTCACCCACAGAGGCTCCCCGTTAAGGGCGTGAGCTGTGTCAGTCATCAAGTGATCTCAGCTTTGGGGAGCAGTGGGCAAACGGTTAGCACGTGGACAAGCTGAAGCTGGTGGAGCATTTCCGTGAACCGTGTGCACACGCTGGTGGTACCATGTGTGAGACAGACACGCTGGACTGGAAGTCCTCCGTGGCCGTCGTAGATGCGCCACCCAGACGCCAAGAACTCACAGGTCGTCTCTCACCAGGGCCTCCCCACCCCACGCCTCCCAGAGACGGGCCGTCCTGCCTGGGCGCTCAGGACGGCAGGGCCCCGCCGTCAATCCACGGTCACTGCTGCTGTGTCACCCAGGCCAGAGTGCCCAAGCAGGTGCAGCGAGGCGGGAGATGGGGCAGGAAGGAGAGCAGGGCTCGGGCGGAAGGAGGGCCACCTCGGTCCTCATACTCGACTGTTAGGACTGACTCGGATTTCAAAACCAAACCTAAGCATACACGTGCGTTTCTGGCCCGGTCACTAAATACTCATACGTGCTAAATGTTTCGGCTGTCTGCACGAATGGAAGGAAGGCAGGGTTGATTCTCAGTGCTCCTGGCGTGCAGACCGCGGTCTCATGAACGCATCTTCACCGCCCTCTAGCACGGGCCTCGGGAGCCTCACTGCCCTGAGAAGCCATCTGGGTCTCATCACAGGTACAGTCACATCTCATTGACTGAAAACTTGTACGGAGATCAATACTCAGCGCACCATGAAAGGAAACAGGACAAATTCCACACAGGGCTCCAAGGCAGCTGTGGCACAGTGACACAGCCAGCCTTGCTCCGTTGCAGGGGGCTGGCCTGGACGCCCTTGGTCCCAGTCACTGTCTGCGGGGGCGCTACGGACCACGTGTTACCAGCCCAGCACCCAGACGCAGCCTGTGGACGCAGACCGTGGGGGTCTAGCCGACAGTCTTCAGCTGCTGTCCAGGAGCAGAGCGGATGCAGGTGGGCAGCCATCTGGTCTCTGCGACGGGGGGGGGGGGGGGGGGGGGGGGGCCTCCCCTCCATCGGGGCACGGGGAGCTGAGGGTCACGCACGGCAGGGGAGCGAGCTCGGCGGCACAGCTTCAGGCGGATGCCACGGATGCCGGCATCACCAAGGCAATCGGGACGCGCCTTCCTCCTCTCCGGTCCCTCCCAGGGCAGCCCTGACCCTAAAACGTGCTGTGCCTTTCCAATCACTAGGGTCTCCCTGGAGGCAGCTGCGCCCTCCTGTCCTCTGACCTTAGGGCCACCCCGGCTCGCTGGCTCAGAAGGGAGGCAGGCCGCGGGTGTGTCCCCACCCACAGGCCACGACAAGCTCGGGGACGCTGGGGCGGGGGGGTGGCGTGTGGATCAAGCCCTCAGCCCTCGAGACCCCACACCGGGACTGAACAAACCCCATGTGCTGGCCCTTTGCTTCACAGAGTGAAAACCTGGCCCCACAGCCCAGAGCGAGGGCTCCTGGTGACACAGAAGTCGAGGCCTGGCTTCGTATTTTAAAAGTGCAGGCACCACGTGGGCCTCTGCCTTCCGAGGTAGAGGGGTCAGAGTGTGGCTTCCACTCCACTGCTGACGTGCACCCCTGCACACCCACTTCTGGCCACAAAACCATAAACCACACCCACATCCCCCCAGTGTGGCATCCGTGGTCTCTTTACAGTTCACTTTCTGCCCAGGACCCGTCCCACCCCTGCCCCAGCCTCTCCCTCTGGGACACTCCTCAGAATTCAAGGATGCCTAGGTCTCTGCCAGCTCATCTATAACAATGATGTGATCCCCTCCTTGTCTCCAACCCCTGGTACCCACTGTCAGAGCCCCCACTTTGCAGCCGGACTGCAGAAGGAGGTCTGGCACTTTGAGAAGACTTGAGCAGAGAGCGGACACGCTCTGTAGATGCTCTGGGGATGGGAGGGGACGCTGATCCAGAGCGGATGGTCTGCCTGGCCTTCTCTGTACAGAGCTGCTGGGGGCAAGCAGGGGGCAACTTTGCTCCCTGGAGCTGCACGCTGCCCGAGAAAGGGCAGGACGCCACCGGGGTGGTCTCACCCTATTCCCAC